AACGTGTCCCATAAGCTAGTTCATTTTATCTTTGAAGCTTAATAAAATAAATAATTCTTTGATCATTGATTATGCTCCATAAATAAATCCATATTAAAGTTTTTAAATACTGTAGAATGCAATGCTAACATTTAGCGGCTGACGCTTCGATAATTACTTATAGTATCGGTATTTTCAATAACAACATTTGCTGAACTCTGCTCAGCAAAATTTCATCAATCATATTGCTTATTGCAAATACCACAGTTAAAACCATTAGATATTCTTAATAATAATAAAGTCATGTCTAATACGCTTGTTTCAATCATCATAATTAGATTGATGTGACATTCTATATAAGAGTAAATTACGCTTAAATTAAACCGTTTAACTACTGCGTTTCCTTTGTAATCATATTTGGGATGGTCGCAGAACAATCAGGTTATGATTAAAAATTACATTTTAATTTCAGTCTATTAGAATGTGTTTTCAATATTTTAATAAAGAAAAAGTTTTCTACTTTTCGAACCCGTTTTTTAATATATTCTTTTTGCTCGTTATTTTAAAATATCAAGGAGCATGTTTTTTCGTAATATAAATCCGAAGATCAAAGTTTTATTTTGTAAGGATAACACAATTCACCTTTTCTATTACTCGCTTTTCTGAAAAATTCTCGTTTATATTTTACACTTTAGAATCATAAATAACTTGATAAAAAAATCAAAAAATCAAATTAAACTTTCAACTTTTATTGGAATAATAAAAAAAAAGAGTTCATTTGATTAACAGAGTTCCAAAATTACATTCAAAAAAATATACATACATACATACATATATACATGTATATATACTGTTTATATATTAATAGAAAAAAAAAAAACAGAAGGAAAAAGGAAGACATACGACAAAAAGGAATTATTTGCATTATCGAGTTACCTAACATTAGTTTTAGGCTCAATTGTGCTAATTTTTTTGATCCTCTTCTTTTTCTCATCAGATAATTTAACGAAATGACATGTCTTCTCATATTCAGTATAACTTTTAATTCCAGGCGGTAAAGAGGGAATGATCTTTCTCTTAACGTATTCTTCAATAGGTTGAGTAACACGCTTATCTCTGTTGCACAATTCACTTCTTAAAGCAGATTTCACCATCAATTTAATGGATCTTTTAGGACCCCTCGCCAAAACATTATAATAATTTGTCCTTTGATATTTTATCAAACTCTCAAGAGTAAATTGATTCAATAGATAGTTGAAGGTCTTTTGCTTGATTTTTGCATTCCTCTCTTGAAATTGAACGATAGTACTTTGAATGTCAGCTTCAATTTTTTCAACTATAGTGGGTTGTTTACGTGACTCTGAAGTTGGCTTTTTCTTCAAAGCTGAGGGGGAAGACGATGGTCCATTCACCACTTGAGGATCGATCGTAATAGGTGGGAGGCAAGAAGTAACTTCCTTTCGCTGGGAGGCGGAATTCTTTTTAACGTAGTTGAAATCATCTTGCAAATTGTTTGGTTCATTATTTTCTAGTTCAGAAGCTTTGAGATCAAGTAATATATCCCTAAGCTTCTGAGCTGCATTCAAATTCTGATTGGGATCATGAGAAGGGTGGTTCCGAGGGTTGTATTTGATATCCTCATCCAAATCGTCTTCCAACTGATGATCTTCTTTATTAACATGATCCTCAGCAGGTATCGTGATATCGGATTCAATACCTTTTCCCTTGGACGCGGCTGATGATAATTTTCTTTCACATTTGTCGATCATTTCATTATCGCTGTATTTATTATTAGGTGATATCGCAGAAGTCGAAGATTCGCCATGTGATTCCACATTGCTATAAAAGTATTCATCAAATAATACCGAGACCTTTTCATCACTTTTTATATTTGAACCCTTTGGAGGGGTTGGACACGCTTCATTGTCATCAAATAATTTTGGTAGGAAGATTAATTTTTCTTTTTTAATATCAATTTCATTTGACTGATCATTTTCAGCAATTAATCTTTCCGATTTGACATTAATTTCATCGGCGGAGGCGGTCAGATTTGCATGACTGATATCATCATCTTTGATATCATTTGGCAGTGTATTATCATCTGTGATCGCGGTCAAGTCCCCTTTTTTGATATCAACGATCTGATTTGATTTCGAATCAGTATCTTTTGAATATGAATGGATAAACTCAAAGTCATCACTATCATACTCTTCAGATAAAGTTTCATCAAGTCCAAGAAGCGTTTTAATTTCTTTTTTAAAATCAAGGAATTCATCTTTGAGCCTCCTTATTTCGCGACTCTTTGTAATTGACTCGTTTTCTAATTCCTTGATACGTGACCGAAGGGAATCTATAAGATGTGATTGACATACGAGCTGTTCTTGTTGTTTCCCCAAAATCTTATCCAGTTCCAAAGTTTTGGCAAGTTCATGTTTCATTTGGTCTTGAATATAAAATTTTGAAGAGTTTTGAATATCTAAACTCATACGTTTTCCAAACGTTTCAAACTCTTTTGCTTGCCTTTTTAATAACGTGAATAAAGCGTCAGACGGTGACAAGGATTTTATACCGTTGGAAGGGTCTGGCTCCATAATTTTTTTTTTTTTTGGTTGGAAGGGACTGCGGGTCAAGCTTCTAGATAATTTAACTTTGTTACCGTGGGGAAAATGAGGAAAAGGTTGGTTTCGCAATGATAGTTGCTTTTTATAAACATTTTGATTTAAGGTACATAGTAGCACAGACTATGACGATTTGGACGAGGCGCAGTCACAATTTTAGGGAACGCAACAACTCCCCCGACTTTGATCTGTCAGGAAATAACCGCGTGACAAAATCATGGTATTAATTGATTCTTCTTTCATCCCGACACGTGATAGATCGACCCCATGGTCAGTCAGGTTCACGAAAGGTTCGTTTGAAACTACAAGTTAAACCTTTCTAATTTGTTCAAAAACGCCGTAATCGATCGAGTGCGCGAAAATTTCTTTTTCAAAAAATTATTATGAATAAAAGTATCTAATTAATTTAATTTAATTATAAGGATAGATTAATTTAAACATAGTTTGATAACTAATGACTAATTCATCAAGGTCAAGACAAAAAGTAAGACGTGGAACAATAGCCACATAATGAAATAATGATGATCATCAAACCTTTTAAAAATCATTAAATTATTACCTCTGTCATTGTTTTAAAAATCTCACACAAACTTTCACATGAAAATCGTTCACAATTAAATTTATCAGTCTTAAAAAAATCTTTCCGATTGAAGGGAAAGGAAAAAATTTTTAATTTTTAATTTTTTATTTGTTTTTTTCAAATACATGGGATTTTGAAAAAAGTCATATGCATATTTTTAGGTTTCCATAAAAAGAAAAAGAAAAAAATCCTATAACATTTTTAAATATAAATAAATAAATAAATATATATATATATATTGAATTTAATTTGCAATTTGTAATTTTCGATATTTAGAATCGATTTCAACATTTGACTCGAAGATTCGATTTTCGATTTTCGATTAATCGAATATAATCGATCCATTGAGTTAAATAAATAAATAAATTAATTAAATTACAAAATAGGGGATCTATATTTGCAAATTTTAAAAATAATTAAAATATATAAAATTAATTATTAGAACGCGCGATTATAAAAAATTATAATTAATAAAAAAAAATCAAAGATCGCGGAAAAATAATAACATGAAAAAAAATCAATTAATTAATATCGCGATAAAAACAAAAAATTTGTTAAAAATTAAATAAAAAAATTTAAATTAAGATAAGTTAATTTTAAATTTAAAAAAATTCTCGGATATAAAAAAATATTTAGATTAGGGATAGGAGTGTTGGATTATTTATAAAAATACATCAATAATTGTATTATTTATTTTAAATTTCTTTGTTAACCCCCGGGTAAAACCACAAGTTTAATGATAATAATTTATCGCGAAAATCAATTTTTAATATGACATTCTTTCATATAACTTGTAACTAAACAACAAATTCAACTACCACTCCATATAGTTAAGACACTTTTTAATAATTGTAATGCGCCGTCTGCTGAACATTTTACATGTCATTTTACGTCCAAAAATAGATTCGATTTTTTTTAATTCGATTTTATTAGAAACCTAATGGGACAACTAATTTAGTAAATAATTATGATTTATTATAAATATATATTTATTTATTTATTTACTTTTTTTCCAAAAATGTTAATTGTCAATCAAAAAAAAAAAAAAAAAAACTGCATGACCACGGTAAAAAGAAAACTTGTGAGTGAATTTGAAGGGGGGGAAAAATGATCGTCATCGTTATTTATTTACGCGAAAAATACCCGGATTTCTTCCTTTAAGCATGACCAAATGACCAAATGTAACCTAAATCACACAAAGTTTCAATTTATTGATCATTACGTAAGATGTGACATGTAACCGGAAAATGACGATATAACGAAACCTGTTCGCATCATAGGCAATGTTTAATTTAGGTCGTACACGTGGGGACGGGAAATTCTTTTTTTTTTCCTTTTGTTTCAAACGAGCACTTGTCCAACGGATCTTTAGGGAAAGAAAAACAAATTTGCTAACGACGTTCGGAAAAATTGTTCACGTACCTAAAAAAAAAAAAAAAAAGCTTAAAGGAAGATCCATTTGACTCGAACTCGTGGTTTGCCAATTATAATGTATGGATGAAGGATCATACTTTGTTAGGGTCGTATAAGTACAATTTTGGTTACCTTTATCTTGATGAAATCAACATCTGAATATTAGGAATTCCTTTATTTCGGATATACAGAATACTTGTGATAGGCATATTATGATAAACAAAATTCGACATAATCAGCGAAAATGAATATAAATAAGGAGCGATCATATCATATCATTACCTTTTTTTTTTTTATCAATTAACGCACATATATATATATTATATGGTTTTGTTTTGTTTTATTTTTCTTGTGAAGAAAAATATTTCGAAAATTAAACGAATTATACAATGCTTCTAAACAATCCTATAATGGATAATGACCTTGAAGACGATAATCTTCATACTGAAGGAGCACGTCAGCTAAATTCAAGGCCGCTTAATGAAATGATTTATCAAAAGTTGGATAAACAAACCTCAGAACTTGAATGTCTATGTGAACGCATTAAAAACTTGGAAATACAACGAACCAATGCTCAAACACATCATCATGTCCCCATTTCATCCAAAGAATCATTAACGGCAGCATCTGCACCGCCGCCGACATCATATATCTCACCAATAAATCTTCCTCCGATTGGCGAGTTAAAAGATTATCAGTCAATTATAAGGCGTATCGAAGAATTAGAGAGAAATTCGATTTTGGCAAATCATGAACTCGGGAGGTTACGAAGGGAAAACTTCGATTTAAATGAAAAGATTCCTTTATTGGTTCAAGTTGAAGTAAAGAAATTTAAAAAAGAGATAATGAAATGGTTATCAAATAGTCATAATACCAATGATATAAAAATCGCAATTGATCTTTTGAATCCCATCTACGATGATAATAACATTAAAGATCAAGATGATGTAATGAATTCGGATGATACCTCGTATCCTTCGAACCTTTTTGAATCGAAACCTCAAAGGGTGGTCGTACCTCCTCCACCTGAACCCCAATTCCAAAAGGTCGTTCCTTCGAGCAATTATAATTATAAGAATTATAATACCATTTTTGAAAATCTCTATATAGAATTACAAAACACTGCAAATGAATTATGTAATGATAGAGATTCATTTAGGAAAAAAATGAATTCTTTGAGGGATATGTATAATTAATCTTTTGACAGATATATATTTTATCTTTTGTTTTCATCCTATTTTTAATAAAAATGTTTGTTATTCATTTTTTTTTTTTTATTTCTCTTCAAATAATGTATAATTAAAATTAATATTTCCATATAAAAAAACAAAAGAAAAAGAGGTTTATTGTCTTATAAAACGGGTTGATGAATTTATTATTGTCTTATGAAATAGGTTGATAAACCAATTTATACTTTTAATTTTCACACAGTTCCAAAACAGGTTGATGAACTGGATTTGAACAATGGCGTAGGCTGTTTTTGTTGATTTTTCCGGTCGACCAATTTTTAGTATAAAATGGTTCATTTCCCGCATCAAAAACTTTTTAAAAGATTTCCTTTAAACAATATTCTCACTCTCAAGAAGCCAAAACAAACAAGTTTCATACCCAACTTCAAATCATTTGCAAAAGGAAATCATCATAAAATTAAAGGTCTTTTGACGAAAACAAACGACTCAATTCATTGCAATCACTTTTAGAAATGGCATTCGGACGAACCAAACAGAATAATAAAACAGCCTCTCCTCGTTCAGCTACAACGGGTGATACCAAAATTGAAAAATCTTCCTTAGAGATTGTTCCCATTTCCTCACACCCTTCATTCAATTATTTTACTTATCAGAAGGACGACGTTACAAAACATGAACAACCCTATTCACCTAAAACATTTGAAAATTTTGATGATAAAATCGGTTTACCCTCTTCACATCCTTCACACAATTATTTTGCTTCTCAAAGAAATTCAAGTTTTGAACAAATCCAAACCATTTATGATTTCAAAATTAGTTTACCTCCTTCACACCCTTCATCAAATTATCTTGCCTCTCAAAGAAATATAGATTTCGAACAACTCCATTTCCAAATCCAAAACATTTATGATTGTAAGGCCAGTTTAAAAAACCTTCGATACCTAAAGTATTTTTTTTCAAACGATCATTTAATTCGATATACAAAATCGGATCATTTTAATTCCTTAAGTGAAAAAATTAAAAGGTTGATAAATCTTCTCATCTATGAAATCTTATCGGATGAATTTCGACGGGAAAGCGTAAAACTATCACAAAAGTTGGAAGAATACATCAAAAGAAATTTGATTCCGGAATTACCAAATGGATATAATAGTTATACTGAATTTGAGAATAGTAAGGCTTTTAAATTCTTAAGTAAGATGCAAAGGAAGAGAGTCAAAAAATTGGTTAGATTAGAGAATAATATGACTCCCCCGAAACAAGTTCCTAAAAGGCAAAGGAACGAGATGAAATCATACAATCGGTCGAGTAATTTTGCGGTGAAACATGGTGGATTAATTGTTCTATGTGCGGACGATATGGTGTACCATTAATTATTAGAATAATTTTTTTTTTTTTTTACATATCTTGGACTTTTTTCTTTTTATTTCTCTCTCTTTGTATTCATTCAAATTATCAATATATTTATTGTAATAAAGAAACATTTACAAGACAAAGTTTCCATTCGAAAATGTTATCCTTTCGTGCAATTTCAGATGGCTTTTGTCGCCAAATTGGGGAAACCATTAAAAGAGATGATGGAACGACGATCCCTGACATTTATATGTAAAGTGATTTTTTTTTTATAGTATCAAAAGCGACGCAGCAACTAATTTTTCCGGATCAGGTAACCATATTAGTAATTTTTATTCCCACACATTTAAGTAAAAAAAAAATTTTTTTTTTCCTCCGCACTGATTTTGACCCTCTCCATTTCATTAATCATGGAGAATTCACGACAATTTCGTTTCAAAATAATCCAGATATCTCAGATATTCCAAATGACAAGTATGAAAGTTCCTTATCATCAAAAGATCTCAATAAATTAATCAGAAGACAAGCGAAAGGGTCCGAGGGGATCCGCAGAACATCCGTTGGTCAGGAATCAAAATTCGAAAGAGAAATCGAACAAGTTCCCGTGATGAATAATCAAAGGCGAATCGATTCTCAGTCAGAAACAATCGAATCGTTAAGGGATCGTATCGATGAATTGGAGATCGATTCCTTCATTCAAAATCAAAATATTAAAAAACTTCGACAGGATTTTAACAAGTTGAAGATTAAGGATATAATTAACAAGGGTAAATGTGATGTCAAAGGTCATGAGAAACTTGTAAACGACAATGGATCTATTGGATCTGCAACATCTCCCTTGCAGATCAGCTCAACCTATTCAGAAGATCAAGGATCGATTCCAAAACTTGTTCATCAAATTCAACAATCCATTACGCGAGAGAATATCAGTTTAAGAAAATCTCCGATATTTAAAGCATCACTTTTCAATCAATCATTTGGTTCGATATACAAAATCGGATGATTTTAATTCTTTAAGTGAAAGAATTAAAAGGTTGATAAATCTTCTCATCTATGAAAGTTTGTCAGAAGAATTTCAACGAAAGGATGTAACGCTCTCACAAAAGTTAAACGAATATATCGAAAGAGGTGTAATTCCAGCATTACCAAAAGGATACAGTGAGAGTAACTTGTTCAAGAAATTGAATAAAATCCTAAAAGAGAGGATTACAAAATTAATTCAAATAGAAAAAAAATTGACCACCGGAAAGAATGAAAAATTTTAGGTGGACAAATAAGAATTAGAAAAAGGTTAGAAATCTTGTTTTTTGAACAAACATGCAATGTTGGCCAATTGCGGGCCGATTTACACATAAACATGAGAGATTGGCCTGACTCAATTGGAAATAATAAATGTAACGTGATCAAAGGCGTAAAATAATATATACTTTTTTAAAAGATGGAATGATCAGATCTAAACCAAAATGAGCGAAAAAAAAATTTTTTCGGATCTGCATATATTTAAATTTTTTTTTTTTTGGGTTTTTTTTTTTTTTTTTTTTTCGAATTCAAAATCTTTTAATAATGGAGAAATCAAATTTACAAAATAATATTCCACAAAATCCTTTTTATAAATTTTCATTAAAACAGAGGAAGGAATCTGAAGAATTTGGTAGGCTTACAATCGAGTATATCAAACGACAAAATGAAAATCTTCAACAATTATATTCTGAAAGTGAAATCGTTGAATCGAGAATTAAGGATTATTGCAGGTGCAAAGAAACAATTAGAGAACAAGAACATTTAATCGGCACATTAAAATATCGCATTGAACAATTAGAAGCTTCCATTGTGATTAAAAATCAAGATATTAATAATTGTCTTAATATTATAAGAAAATCCAAGGAAGAAATGAAGTTGAAAGAAAATCGGGAAAGTCCCGCAGCATGTTCAGAACTATCAAGGAAATATCATAGGACAGCAAAAAAGTCTTCCATTTCTTTAAACGATAATGAAAATAAGCAAACCAAGCAAGTACAAGATCCCCCGATATACACTATTTCCATAGGTGACATTATTAAAAAGTATGCCAATAAAGTTCAGGAATCGCAAGGTCAAAAGCAAGGAAATAACACGTTATCAGAATCTTTATTAGACAATCCTTCATCCAGAGAACGATTGAAACGAGATGAAAAGGTTGAAGAGTTACAATCGACCTCGAGAATCGATGAATCACAAGATCTCATACAATTATATGATGATGATGATGATTCTACAAAATTGGAACAATCTCATCTTGCAAATGAGAATCTTATAAAAAATTTGAACATTTCAAAGACGACCCATTATGATTCATTATATGACTTATATAACTTCTCTTTGTATCCCTCGAATAAATATTCATCATATTCATCTTCACAAATTAATTCAATTTGTCAAGAAAGTCAAGAAACCATTTCAAAACTTAAACAAATTCATAATCAACTTCAACAAGTAATCACGCAAAGTAAAGAAGATCCCTTGTTTGTGGTAGGTTAGATCATTTAAATTTCTTTTGATAGAATTTTCATGCAATAAAGATCAGAAGAGAGATCTTCTTATCCAAGGGTCCTTCCTTTGTCGAATAAAATTCAAAGGATTGGAACAATTTCATGCAAATTATACCGAAAAAGAAGCTAGTGGTCGGATCAGACTTTAACAATCCTCTAAAAATCATTTCAATTCTTTAAATAAAAAATTTAAATATTTTGGTAAAGAATTTAACAAGATGTAACTCTTTCACAAAGATACCAGGATACTAAATACGAGAAGTTTACAACGAGTAGAAAGTTAATAAGGAAAGGAATTCAAATTTAAAATTATATTCGGATTTTTTTTTTTTTTACATTTATGTTATCTTGTATATAAAAAATAATTTATAAATATTAACCAAATCGCCCTAATCCACTTTCTTTTTTTATTGAATGAATTTGGTAAACTATACGTTATATTAAAAAAAATAAAAAGAAAAACTACTGATACGATGAGAATTTATTCGTCTATATTAACTAGATAAAGTTAGTTAAGGCAAAGAAGGTTTATTTTCTTTTTTGATAAATTATAAATATCGGACGGTTAAACCAAATATTTGTCGTTAAGGTTGTCGGAGGTTTTGACAGGCATCGAAATCGAAACACATCGATTCGACTTTGCCAAAATGGGATTTGACATAATTTACTGATAACGTAAATATTACATAATATATATATATATATATATATATACGCACCAACATTTTTGATAAATAAATTTTCAATTAGTTCCTTTTCCTCAAAAACGTTTTTTTTTTTTCGCAATGGCAATTCAGAATAGCACCGATGAAAATCAAAATGAAAATCAAATTGAAAATCTTCAACAATTAGATTCTGAAAATGAAAATGTTAAGGATCATCGTAAATGTGAATTAAAGTTTAAAGAACAAGAAGATTTGATAGACTCATTAAAATCTCGTATTTTACGATTGGAAGAATCTATTGTTGTTCGAAATCAAGAAATTGATGATTTTATTAAAACTATTAATGAAGAAATCAAACGACTTACTGGAACGATCTATAAACTGGAAAATAACCGTGAAGATACAAATAACGTCGATTATAAGTGTCTCGTAACGGGTTCAGATCTCAAGGATTTGAATGCCGCCAAAGAAAATTATAGTAAAGGTTCCTTTTACCATAGGCCAACAGAAACAGCCTCCATTTCGAAAGATCAAGATCCCCCCACCTTTACAATTACGATGAACGACATTATTAAAAGATATTTTGCAAAAGTTAAAGAATCAAAACAAAAGAAAAATATTGTACATGAATCCTCAGAAGTAGTTCCTACTTCTTCAGTCGATACTTCATTAAAAAGTTCCTTTGCTGTTACCCAAAGTGAAGGTGTAATTGAAAATTTGAAAAGTTTGAAGAAAGGTGAAAAAGTCAAGTATGCGAATGATGCAAAAGATGAAGTTCTTAAACAGAAAAAGAAAAGAAAGAAAAGAAAGAAAGTTAACAATTTATCAAAGATAACTCATGTCCCCTCTAATACTACCAAATCTTCAAATATCGAACAGATTCACACACAAATTAAACAAATTATTACGCAAAAAGAAGCCATTGGAAATAAAATTAGATTAAAACACATTCAATCACTTGAAGATTCTTTTACACGTGATGAATTAATTCAATATTCAAAAACAAATTATTATCATTCTTTAAATGATAACATCAAGCGATTGTTCAAACAACTTCTTACTCAGGTTTTGGCATCGGCAACTCATGATTCCACAAAATCTTCAAAATTCGAACAAATTCATACACGAATTCAAAATATTATTACGCAAAAAGAAGTCATTGATAGTAAAATTAAGTTAAAACATATTAGACCTTTCAAAGATTCCTTTACACGTGATGAACTAATTCGATATACAAAAACAACAAATTTTAATTCACTTAATGATAGAACCAAAAGATTATTCGTACTCTTTATTCAAGAATTATCATCGACTTCTACAAATGAGATTGATGCTATCAAATTGGAAAATCTTCACAAAAAGATTATTACAATAGCAGAGACTAGGGGTAAAACGATTAGTAAAGATCATCTCGATTTTCTAAAAAATCCCTCCGTCTTTAACTATTTAATTCATTATACAAAAACTCATCATTTCGATTCTTTAAGTGATCTAATTAAAAGTTTCATTGATTCCATCATTTATGACGGATTAAAAAAAGAATTCAATCGGGAAAAAATAACGCTTTCACAAAATTTAGAAGAATACATTAAAAGAGGTTTAATACCACAATTACCAACAGGTTACCATAATTATGCCGAGTATGAAAGGACAAGCATGTTCTTTTGCTTATCTAGGAAACAAAAATCGAGAGTTAGAAAGTTGGTTGTGTTGGAAAATAAAATGGGCAAAATAATTTAGCGAAAGTTCTTTTTAATTTATCCATTTTAGAAATGATAGCTGTCGGTTTAATCACGTGATAATGAAGGCGCCCAATTCTTTGTACCACAATGCAAAATAATGCATAAAAAAAAAGAATTCTTTTTCTTTCACGCAAATTCAGAATGGAAATGCAAGAGAATAACATTGCAGAAAGGTCCGCGGAGATTCGAAAAAGTTTGGAATTAGAACTTTCATATCAAGAGTACTTTTTAGACAACATTGATGATGAAACTCGAACAAATTTAGAATCACAACCCTCATATCAAGATTACTTTCAAGAAAATATAACGGAAGGTTCTTTAGAAACTCAAAAAAGTTTAGAAACACAACCTTCATATCAAGAACACTTTTTAGAAACTATTGAGGAAGAAATTCAAACAAATTCAGAATCACAACCTTTACATCAAGAGTTCCTTCTAGTGGAAGGTTCCGGTTCCGGTTCCGAGATAACCCAAAAATATTTGGAATCACATCCTTTAGAAAACATTGCGGAAGATACCCCAAAAAGTTTAGAATCGCAACCTTCATACCAAGAATACCTTTTAGAAACCGTTGTGGAAGGTTCTGAAGGAATTCCATCGCAACCTTCGCATCAAGAATATGTTTTAGAAACCAGGTCCGAAATTCAAGAACCTCAACCCTTAGAAATCATTGCAGACATCGTAGAAGAGACCCAAAATAGTTTTGAATCCCAATCTTTACCTCAAGAGTACCTTTTAGAAACCATTGAGGAAAATTCCGAAGAAATTTCAAAAAATTTGGAATCGCAACCTTCACATCAAGGGTATCTTTCAGAATCTATTGTTGAAGGGTCCGACGAAATTTTAAAAAAGTTTGAATCGCAACCTTTAGAAAACATTTCAGATATTGCAGAAGATTCTACCGAAACTCGAAAAAGTTTTGAATCACAACCTTTACCTCAAGAGTACCTTTTAGAAACCATTGAAGAAAATTCCGAAGAAATTTCAAAAAATTTGGAATCGCAACCTTCACATCAAGAGTATCTTTCAGAATCTATCATTGAAAGGTCCGACGAAAATTTAAAGTTTGAATCGCAACCTTTAGAAAACATTGCAGATATTGCAGAAGAGTCTACCGAAACTCGAAAAAGTTTTGAATCACAACCTTTACCTCTAGAGTACCTTTTAGAAACCATCGTTGAAGGGTCCGAAACAATTCAAAAAAATTTGCAATCATTTGAAGGTTCTGAAGAAAGTCAAACATATTTAGAATCACAACCCTCATATCAAGATCAAGAGCACCTTTTAGGAAATATTGTGGAAGATCCTACAGAAATTCAAAAAGATTTAGAATCACCACCTTCATATCAAGAATACCCTTTAGAAACCATCATGGAAGATTCTATAGAAATTCAATACCTATTGGAAAGTAATCTTCAAAATTCTATTAAACAACCTCTTGAACCGATGAAAGATTGTATTTGTAAAGAGCAAATGGAATCTCTAGTACAATTAATCGACTCATTAAGAACTCGTGTTGAAGAATTAGAAATTGAATCGACCACCAAAGATCAAAATTTTAAAAAACTTCAACGAGAATTTAATGTATTTAAAAAGGAAAGTTCTTTGAAACATGATAAAACTTCTCAAAAACAAGCAAAAACGCCTCATTTGACTTCACCTTTATCTATTAATGGCGTTCATTCGCATAAAACTGTCGGGGTGCCTCCTTCAATTCCTTCACATATACCTTCTATAACAACTAAAGTTCCTTTAACCATCGTTAAATCTTCAATTCCGCAAAAGAAATTATCTTTTACTTTTTCTAGACAGAATTTGAATAAAGGTAAACCTTCTTCAATTCCACGAAAGAAAGTTTCTTTTGACTCTCCTCTTTCACATTAAGATCACGATAACCGAATAATATTAGCAAAAATATAAGCATTTTATTAACGAAATATATAAAATCAAAAAGAATTTAAATGATAAAAATTCAAAAAAAAAATGTACTTTTAGAAATTACATAGAGAAAATTATATTTATATTGAATAAAAAAATATTTTTTAGATATGAAATTTTCCATGCGCTTATTAATTTTGCTCCTTTTTTTAATACAAGAGATTTCCTGAAATAAATATAAAATAATCTAATCACATTTCATATATAAAGTACTTTACAAAGAACATATTATTCTTCGGAAGGTTCTTTAAGACTTGTAAGACTGATTATTAAAACTAATTTATTCAATTCTGAAAATGGTCGGTCATGGATGATGGTTCATCAAAAGTTTAGCAAGTAGGAATCATTTTAAAATAGCGCATTCTACATTCTAGGATCGTGATTACGCCGAGACCCTTAATAAATTTTTTTTTTTTTTAAAAACAATATTTCATTAATAGTTAATGTAATAATATTTTAATATTTTAATTGGTTGAATATATATAGCTGGAATCATCAAACATTTCCTTATAAGGTGGGTTTTAAAGAATATCTCTCCTCCCATATAAAAAATGTTCCATAAAGTTTTGACTTAATTGAAGGAACACTACTCAATATCTTGAGCTCATATTGATTGCTTATTTTCGAGAATCGATTGGAATTCTTTTTTGAGTATTATCAAAGTTTTTAATATCTTGATTTTTAATAATCAAGTCGCAGTTTCTATGCATAATTTATGTACTTTATAGTCTAAACGTCACATTCTTTTGCTTGTTCATTAGGAGCATTAATTTTATTATTCAAAGATTATTGTATAAATTCATTTTTGAGCAGAAGTCTGCGGTATTATCCACTGACACTTTCTTGCGTATTCATTATTTGAAAGAAATTTTGAAAGTTGAACCATATGATTATATGAATATTTTAGGAGGTCAAATGCATGGTCTTAAACAAAAATGCTTAATCGAACGAAAGGGATGTAAAAAGCACTTTTGATGATATATGGCAAATGAGTTTTTGTTATAATGAAAAAATATTTCACTCTCATGATTTTATTCGAGTATTTTAATTTCAGCCGAATTTATAATTTTGGCTGGAATTAAATTCGTGAATTCTGATCATATTTATATGGTGCTGGAAGTCTTAACTCAAAAATAAAATTGTACCACTTGAAAATCTTTTCAAAATTTTAAAAAAATAAACCGGTAACTTTATTCTTTATGATGAATACTATTAAATTACCGGCCAGTTTTTCAAAAAACTGCCTACATAAAAAGTTATAGCGGTTTAAATTCGGATGATTTTCATATGATCGGCTCATTTTTGAAACAAATCGTATCACGTGAAAGTGATTTTATTGGTCAAAATTTTTTATAATTCGGGCCAACACTATAGCAATTTAATGCCGGCCTGAATTATCATAATTAAATAAACTCGGATTTTTTTTTGGATTCGATAAATTTTTTTGATTTTTTTGATTTTTTGAAATCTGATTATACTTTTATGATATCACGCAAGACAAAAAAATAACAACAGATTAGTAAAATACCTAGAAAAAAAGGATACTATATGTTTTAAGAATAAAATACTACAATTATAGATGAAAACATTGAATCAAACGAAGCAGAAGATGAAGTGGATTGGATAGAAAGTGAATCAAATTGAATGGAAAATGAAGTTAATAAGAAATGGATAGAAGGTGAGTTAAGAGAATTTAAAGGAATAGAACAAAAACTCATCAATGAGACACTTTGTTGAAAAAAGAAGCTGTAAATAAAATTAGAACTGTATATCCTGAAAATTTAAGAATGACAAAATGGAGACAAAAATAAACAAATATAAAGTTAGAAGAGCATGTAAAGGGCATAAAAAAATTAACATCTTTTTCCAACCAGTTTCTGAAAGTAATGGCATGTCAAATAAATCATCATCATTATCATTATGTTCAATTATACAAAATTCACCTTTATTACCTATTGATACTACAATAGACCTATATATATGCTTAGAAGAAATTAATAAATTATACTCAATAGAAAGTCTATAAAAGATAATCATAATACATTTACATATGATTATATTCATCTTTTGAGTGTACGCATGTATATACAGAAATTGTTAAATGGATAAAGCAAGATGGTGGCCAGCAATTAAATTGCTCAATCTATGTGAAATATATGGCTTAATGTATTAGAATATGGGGAGGTCACTTTATACATACTGTAGAGCTTCCTGTTCATTCTCAAGGAAAGTATATGAAAATAAAAAACCTGCTAGATAATGAAGATTTTACTGAGGATTGCAAAACATAGTTACGGCAGCAGGTTTCAGAAATACATTTTTCTTCTAACCTAAAAATATATATTGAAGAGGAGTTATTTTCAAAATTAATAGGATACATCAAAAAGGATACCATCTCTGAGAAGACTTGCCAAAACTATATATACCTATGGGGATATAGATATGACAAAAGAAGAAAGGATATTTACTATGATGAATACAAGAGACACGATGTAGTAGAATATAGAGAAAATAGTTAAAAAGAATATTTATATACAAAAAGCATATGAGAGAATTTGATGGAGATATGTTGGATATCATATTAGAACCCAAACTCAAATCAGAAGAGAAAGAGTTTGTTCAAATAATATATGATAAATGTCACTTTTATGTAAATGATGGATTATGAAGAATCTGGGTCAATAAAGAAGAGGATATTTTGCGTTCAAAATATTTAGAACGTTCCATTATGGTTTTTGCCTTTCTTTGTTCATGTCATGAATTATTACAACTATCCGATAAACAAATGCAAGAAAACTCACACATCCAACATAAAGATACTTATATTCTTCATTCTGTACAAGCAGATAGATATTGAATATTAGAACATATGATGAAACAGATATTTTTTTAAAAATTTCATTTTTATGTTATTAAATTACATATGATACTAACCTTATTATTTTTAACTAAGCTTATCCATAAAGCAATTCTAATATTTGAGATACTGCATCCTAGATGTATTACTATTTTTTGTTTTAACTAGTCAACAAACTATAATGCTATGGCTTAAAATGCATTGATTGTGATAAGAATGAACTTAGGACCTGAAGGAGCACAACTGAAAATGCGCGATAGCTAATATATAAATGAACATGAAGAGAAGTGTATACAATCTATAACATTTTCAGACAATTACCTGATATAGAAATTAAGAGAATAACTAAAGGAATTAAAAAAGTGCTTGAAGAGCGTAAGTTTTGACCTGAAAAGAAGATTAATTTAATGTGTAAAGAATGTTCTAAGAAAGATGCTGATAATGATCTGATAAGACTAGATTGTTATGTATAGCGAATAATATCTTTACAATCTGATTTCTTAAATAAAAATCTGCATTAAAGGAGATAACAATTAGATTGAGACATATTTTTGAACGGTATTCAAAGTTTCATTGTGAATGTAACTTTATTGAGCGATACTAGAGTTTCGTAAAATGAGAGACTAGAGAATTATGTAGTTATAACTATACAGACCTATTAAAACTTATTCCTGAAGTTCTTGTTAATGTTCCCATAATAACAATCCACAAATTTGCACATAAATCGTGGAGATACATGGATGCATATAGTAGAGGATTAGAAGGCAGGATTGTCGAATAGGCTGTTAATAAGTATAAGTCACATTACCAATTACCAGAAAATATTGAAAAAATTATGGATTAATAGAGTGGTATTATAGCTAAAGAATTTAAATTTTTCAATACTTAGCTTTAGATTATTATTCTTATATTATACGGTTCTTGGTTTTAGATCGCTATTTGTTCTTTAAATTATTTTAATTTTATTCTGCTTGTAAATTTTTTCATTAAAAAAAATTGTTTAACCCAATCCTTTAATTATACAAAATTCTCACATTTTAATTAGTAGATTATGTATCAAGTGATGAAAGATTAGTGATAAAAATTTGAAATAAAATTACATGATTTTTGAGTTAAGATTTCTGGCATCATAGTATTCGTGTAAAGTAGATGGAATTTTTTTGAAATTTTTTTTATTTAATTTATTTTTATTTACAATATATAGAAAACCTTTATTAAATCTAATTTATTTTTTTTTAATATCTTTTATATTATAAATAAATTTGTTTAAAAAAATATTAAACTTTATTTTTTTAAAAATAAAAAATAATTATTATAAAAATTATAATATTTGTAAATACTTTTATTTATTTATTAAAGGTTTATTATTATCCTTCTATTAAAAAATATATAATTTAAATATTTAAAATTTTTTTTGATAAATGTAATTTTTTTATAAAAAATAAATTTAATATTTCTATTCTATTTTATATTATAAAAAATTTTATAAAACATATAAATTATTAATTTTAAATAGGAGTTATCTAGTTGCCATCCAGGAGGGTATATAATTTTTTTGCTATCCTATAAAGTTAAATATTATTGGTTAACAAAATTAAAGAAAAAAACCTTAAAATTGATTAACATATGATATAGTAAATGCTTATATTTTTGATTTAATAGAATTTTATTATTTTATTATTAAATTTTCATGTAGAATACATAATAAAGTAAATTTATATAGAATTTCTTTGCATATTTTTCTTTGTAGTTTACATAAGTATGACTATTTTTTTTATAAGATTTATATAATACCATATATCATCAAATATTATAGATAGTTCCTTTACAATTACTATATGCATTTAATCTGCTATTATTATTTTATAAACTAACTTTTATTATTATCTTAGATTAAATTTCCAACTTTTATGTGTTATTACAGAATTTTTAAATCAGTTATTTTATGGTTTTCCTTTGAATTTAACTATATAATTTTATTTGATTTGTTAATAATTTCATTAATATCATCATATAATTCTTTTAAAAATTGATTAAAAATTTCTAAAATATTAAAATAGCATTTTTTAGTAGCAATTTGAGCAATTTTATATTTAAGTCTAAATAAATTACCATATAAATAACGTGCTTCAATTTTTATGTTATATATTATTAATTGAAATATCCTTTAAGTCTTCTTGAAGTATGCTTAATATTGTTAATAATTTCTTCAAAAAATATTTGATCATTTATATTTATAAAATTTGTTTTTATGAATTAAAATCATTAAAATTAATTTTAAGATTATTTGTGATTTCTAATTTAAACTATTATCTTTTAATTAAAAAGACACTAAATTTTGCTTATTAACTATGAATTATAACCTGAAAAAATACCTGAAATTAATAATTATCAAATAAATATAAATATGACTTTCTTTATGTAAAAGATAATGAAATAAAATATTAAACTTAAACTATATATTAGATAAGTTACATATTAAATTTTAATCATATATGTTTTATTAACTTTACTAATAAGTAATTTTAAGGATATCTAAGTAAAATTAATTTGATCATCAATATTTGGATTATCAATCTCTTATACAATATCTTAAAATATTAAAATTATTATTGTACTTTAATAATAAAAATTGATCTACTTAATTTATAAAAATTTAAAATACTTACTTTTTTAAATATTTTATATTCTTCTAAAAATATCAGTATAACATTATATTTCAAATAAATGTTAAATTAAGCTTTTTATATAAAATATATTTTCATTATAATGAATTTTTTTAGTTCTTTAATTATAAATGAAAAATTTGTTCTAAGACTAAATATTATTAAAATGTTTATTTGAAATAATGATTTAACCTAATTTTAGTATTCTGCTTTAAAAATTTTGATCTTAAAGAAATACTTAAATCCCTTAAAAATTTCAATCAAATTACTTTGTAGATTTATATACTTTTTTATAATGTTATAAATTTTTTTAATATATTAAGATAATAATATTCCTAAAGTACTATAAGTATTTTAATAAATTAGTTAAATTTATTTAAAATTAAATAATACAAATTATTTTAACTTTTTACTTATTATGCAGATAAAAGCTTTTTTCATGTTTTTTCAATTTTATTTAAAATTTCTATTTAATAATTACTAATACAAGGAAACACTTTATTTAATTAATTTTATTTAATATCAAATACAGTTTTTTTTAAGCTATTATGTACAGAATAAAATTTAGATAAAAAATATTGTAATTTTTTTCTAAAAATCTTTGTAATTAACAAATCAAATTCTGATAATAAAAATAAAAATAAATATGTTTAATAAAAGTTAAAACTATTTTTACTACTATTTTTAGACCTATATCTAAGATCTGTGATTTTTTTTTAAAAAAAAGCTTTTACAGCCTTTTTTGATACACAAGTAATTAAAGGAACAATAAAAAATGGTCTAGCTCTTGGTATATTTGGTAAAGTCTCAAAATCATGAAATCAATTATTTGGTCGTTACACTAGACGTTTCATAATATCAAACTTTTATCCCTAGATTGTCTTTTGAAACTTATGAAAATTACAATTGTATTTCAATGGAAATTAGAGAATCATGCGGAAAAAATAGTTGACATAAATTTTTGTTCCATATATAATTTCTAAAGAAATTAAATAAATAAATATTTATTTATATGTTCCTGTAATATTTAGAACTTGTTTCTAAGAAGCCCTTCAAAATAAGTGGCTTAGGTTATATCTTTGTTTACGCTAGATCTAATTTCATTTTGGATGTCCATGTGAAACGGAAATTTATAGACACGAGGAATGCTTGCTGATTTCGCGCAAACTTATAGTGTAATTATGTTACAACAATGGCATGGTCAGAGTAGAAAAGGGGCAAGATAATTGACAAAGCAAAAATGATTATTATCCAAGAGAACAAAGAACATTTTTTCATAATCTTATAATAATTGTAAATTCGTTGATAAATTAATTTTTCTTGTAACCAATATTGCAAGGTCAATGTGACTAAACGAAATTGCAAAATTTATTAATAATAAATATAATAAAGAAAATAATGATGTCTCATTTACCTGAAATTACGGGGAAACTCAACTATTACATCAATATCTTCTTTATCGAACACCGTTTAAAATTTCTAGATCATAAGATAATTGAATTTTTTAGGATCCACAATATAAAAAAAAAAAATTTGGTAAGAAATGGAAATTCTACAACGTAATAAATACCTAGCATGACATGTATCACGTGCATTGACTACATCAAATTGGCTGATCGAAATATAGATAGTAAAATGGTTTGATTATATTTGGTTACCCGGTGTTGAAAGAAAATTCCAAATCTTTTTCGGAAGATTCTTTCAACTTAAAGTTTAAAGGATGATGTATTTAAATGATTGATTAAAATTTGCGCCAAAAAATATAATAATTTTTAGGGTCGTCACATTTAAAAACATTACTAAAATTTTTAATTAAAGACAAATTGATCTTGAACTTTTTTAAATAATAATCTAATTACATTACAAAGGAGAAACTACTACAATGACAAAAAAGAAACAATCCAAGGAAATCTTTTATTATTATTATTATTATTTCGAAGTCTAACTTCAAATGATAATATAATGCCCTTTTATTGGTTAAGACCGGGTTAAGACACTTTGGTTCTTCCTTGGTAAACTTCGAGGCTTCAATTTGGTATTTTAAACCCATAAGAAGCACCTAAAGTTTTTGGGTGGTCAGATAATAGTACATTAATGCTTTGTGTTATTTTTTGTTTCAAATTAAACTTTTTATTTATGCCCGAATTTTGGTGTTCAAGAAAAGAACGATCGATTGTCTTTTTCGGTAACATGTGATCGCCGAACATTATATTATTGTAGTAAAATGACGTTTCCGAAATAGGTAACTCATGACGATTGTTTCAGTCAAAAATTTTTAATCGAAAATTCCCTTTTTACTACATTAAGTTATATTATTGTAGGGGGGTTTCAGATCTAATGGCGCAAATTTACGGTTACATGTGGCGTGCGTGACATTTGTCCAACAATCGGTTTTTTTTTAATGATATACCGCTTGGCATTAATCGGCGTCTATTTAAATCTCTCTCGATTTTTTTTTTTTTCATTTTTTTAAAAAAAGAAAATCATAAGTAAAGAACGATGACTTCCATGATATCCTCTCTCACAAATCAAACTATAGAAAAACAAGAACCCTTGGTTCATATTTTAGAAAAACAAGCAAAGGAATTTGAAGAATTTGGTAAACGCATGAGCGTAGAATTACAATCATCATATCAAGATTATATTCGACAAAATGAACCAAATATACAAAAATCAAATCCAGAGTCTGAAGTGAAGAGCGCAATCACTTGTGATTGTAGAGAAAAAACTAAACTAATTAATTCCTTGAAGACTCGTATCGAAGAATTGGAAACCGAATCCATTATTAAAAATCAGGAATTAAAAAAACTTCAATTAGATGTTCAATTACTTTTTGATATTGTCTCAAAGAATGGTATAACGAACGTTGAAAGAACAAATTTTATGCCCACCCAGATCACTATTACCTCCGAGATTGAAGATAATAATCAAGTTGATATCGGAATAACTCTTAGACAAGAGAGAAAAGAGATTGAAAAAGATAGACTATCGGTTGAAAGTTTTGATATTAAAAATAGTTATTCGGATTCTGCATTAGATTTATTTACGGATGATGATGGGTATTATGATTCATCGAGTGAAGAATCGGTTAAGACGGAACCAAATTGGATAGACCCCAAGAAGCTCAATAAAAAGTATGACAAACCTTCAGAATGGCTTGATGTTTCCCCGACATTGATACAAGAAAGAATTTATCGTGCAAAGTCGGATAAAAAGAATTTAGATCGTTGGAATTCTAAAATGGCTTCTAATGGTCTATTACCAATCTCGTTGGTTGGAAAAGTTGATGCCGAAAAAGAAAAGAAAATACAGACTCATCGAAAGAGACATAGTACATCTGCAATCTGGTTAAAAACTTATGAGAATAAACCAACTTTGAAGCGAAATGAGAAATTTAAAATGCCATCATTTAAATTTCCTTTTAATATGACCGAGGATGACAAA